GGAATTATGCCCAGGCTGCTGTCACAGAGGTGACCACCTTGTTGCATTGATCTTTAGACTAGCCAGCTCAGGTCCTAGGAGCAGTATCACCACATCAGCAAAGAAAAGAGTGAGCTGCAAAATCTGCCCAAAAAGCTTGGTAAATCAGGCTGCCAGGAGCTCTCCCCTACCATGACTTGCCTGCTACCGGTACTCAAGCTAGTGCAGCACCAGCTTGGGTGCATCTGCACCCAGCTAAGAAGAAAATGGCTCTATAAGCAATGATCTAGTAGATCACCTACTCTGAAGGCAAAGTTTTGTCCTAGTACCAACCTGTAGTAAATGCATGGAGTAAATGAAATGCATTCCCTAGTAAAAGAGGAGAGGATGCACAGCATACAGCCCTACTGGGTTCATCCACACATTCATTCATGCACTGTAATTACTGCACATTAAGTTTAGTACTTGCATAACCAAGTATTAAATCAATGTGCAGTCACTGGCACCTCCTGTGCAGTAGCGCCAGCGCATGGGTTTTTATAGATGCTAACTGTGCCGTAGCCTAATACTACTGTGCAGTAGCATATTAGCACAGGTTTTGCCCGGCACAGTACTGTGCAGTGTTATTAGGCTACTGCACAGCTAGCATCTCGTGTAGATGCACCTACTGTGGTGTAAAGTTACTCCTCCAGAAAAGCATGCTTTACTCTGTCTGCTCAGGACACCAGTGTAATTTTAATCCAACTTGAAATACAAAGTAAATTCCCCTATGGCAAAAGTGTTTCTGTATCTTCACCCTTTTGTGCAGCATCTCTGTTTAGGCTGGGCTGCATTCAGGACATGATGGTCCCCAAGCTTAAAGAGGAAGTTGCTGGGCTAGCCTAGCCCCTACGGTGGGCTTGCGCCCTGGGCAAGCAGGAAGGGATCTCCGTTGAGCCACAGCTCTCGCTCAGGCTTCGGCATATACTTCCCATGGGCACAGAACGGCATGCCCAGCTCCCACAGGCAGTGTTTGAAACCAAATGGCAAGGGGGGTTGAAAGCTTTCTGGTGACACTGTTAAGGCTTGTATCCACCCTTCTGCATATATATCACGAGCCCTTCCAAAACACATTGCCGCAGTGAGATGTGGGGCAGGCAGGGAAGGAACTATTGCTTTCAAAGAGCAGCAGTCTTGCTCCAGACATGAAGGAAGATGCATTCACTCATCCCCCCCTATACCAAAGAGTTTAAACCCATAGTGCAGCCTCTTGCACATCCAGCACCATGGCACACGGTGTGCTTGGGGGATTTGAACACAATATTCCAGTGACACGGTGCCTGCAGCGCTGCCTTTTAAAAATCGGTGATCTCCTTATTGCTTTTTCCCCTACTGCTTTCATTCAGCAAGGACCATAGTTTGATTGTACAAAGAATTGGGGATTTCCAAGTTCTAGCAGGGGATGCGTTTGCAACAAGATCTATTTGGTTTGGTTTTGGAGGTAAATAATTTGAATTAGCAAAAGTTTTACGGGGGGATGGGGGGGAGTTGTTTGTTTTTGAACACAATTTGAATGTATTTCATGTATTTCTAATTTTACGTAGCAATCAAATGCAAGCTCTTTTATGGGAATTGAGAAGTGATTTGAATATTAAAACTCGCACAAGGGCTTTTGAAGATGGGAAATCGCAAAGGAGCACGGAAGTATGTGTCCATTTGAGGTTCGCTGGAAACGGTAACTACTGCGACTAGCAATGATTGGCTACTGTATGTTATGAACTTCTTCGCCATCTTGTGGATGAGCTAGCAAGTGCTTTGGCAGCACACTTAATTTGTAATCGGTTTACATGTGAGCTGAGACCTACAACACTTGATCGTGTGCGTAGGTCTATTATTGCTCCGTTAGACTTCTGCTGAACTCGGGACCCTGTGCTCGGATCTGCTCAGAACAATTGTCTAACCAAGCTTAAAGGTACCAAAGCCAAACTATCATTATGACCTTCACTTCGTTTACTTTTTCGGTCACGGAGTCAGTGGCAGCTGTAGGGTCAGGTCTTGTGCTGGGTTGTTTTTTTTGTCCAACTAAAGGGGGCAAGAAAGAGCAAAATGTCCCATATTGTAAGGCAGACAAGGTTCTTTGGGGAAATCTGATCTCTTTTATTAGACCAACTCAAATAGTTGGAAAAAAGTCTTGTTTCCAAGCGTTGCAAAGAAAGCTTCTTTCCAAACCTTGCAAAGAAGAAAGAAGCTTTCTTTGCAGCGTTTGCAAAGAAGAATTTTTTCCAACTATTTGAGCTGGTCTAATAAAAGAGATCACATCCACCCAAAGAGCCTTGTCTGCCTATGTCCTTAGACCAACACGGCTGCCACCTACACCCATAACGTGAGGTAGATTTGAGCTCCATTCCTTGCTGTTTTTATGCTTAAACAAAGGTGGTTTTCAAATCACTAAATTTGGCTTCTGCCCTGTGAATCTCTCATTACACCCTCACTTACACAGTTGTAAACCAGAGCAGAATAGGCCTCGTCCTACTTTCAAAGGAGCCGCGGGAGTTCACAAAAAAAATAAAGGATGTTCTGAATCAGTTCTTGGAAAATATTCTCTCCAAACACTTAATGATGATTTGAGCCCAAATTTCTCCAAAGATGTTAAAAACAAAAAAACAAAAAAAACAAGGCCTACACCATAATCTCCCTTCTCCTCCCCCCTGAAAACATTGAAGTTTAATTTCTTTTGTATAGCTAAGAAACTGTCAGCGTGTTTGTTTTATAGCTGAACTGTGTCAGCCTTTGAAGATTGCGGTTTATAATTAAAATGCTAACAGTTCCTTAATTACAGGCATGGCTGCAGGATCATTCACTACTGTGTAATTGTTTAGCCTTCTGATGAGGAACATGACTAATTATTTTTTCTGTAGGATCTTCAAATAAAACATGCTCTGTTAGGATCTGATCGCTCTGGTTCGATCACCCTGACAAATCCACCTGCCAGAGGGACGCGCTTCAAGCAAAGCCCAGTTAAGTCACCTCTCAGTGGGCTCCTGGAGCCTCTTTAAGTGACAGACGAGTTAGGGTTAGCTCCCAGGTTGTGGGAGGGGGCACGGCTCCACTGACGTGAGCGAAACAACACTGATTTTTGCCAGCTGAGCCGTGGACCCGCTTGGAATCGGTTGCCCTTCCCACGCTGGTGGAAATCGAGAGCAACTGTATCGGCATCAGCAAAGCAGCGTCCTCTATGCAATGAACAGGCTGAGCTCTGCTTTTATGTTTGACCGTCTCTCTCCATCTTCCACAGGCTGTGAGCTACTGGGGCAGCGCCGAGAGGAGGAATTTCTAACACTTCCCTCCACTGCTTTTGCTAAATTTATCTATTTGGAGGGTGTGTCCTAAACTCACATGGTTAATCCTACAGCTCTTACTCCCAATCCTCTCCCTTCCTCTTGGCTCAGGACTGCAGGACTTAAGCAATCCTTTCGATTTGAGGTGTTGTATCTAGACGCTTTGCAGGCTGTGTTGTCCCGGCCTCCTGTTCTGCCCATAAGACACCAAGGCCTAGGTCCTGCCCCGGGGAGCTTTGCCTGAACAAGTCACCTTCTTTTCCCCACGTGTAATGTTGGGATAACAAGTGTGACACCCTTTCTGAAGTGCTGTAAGGTCAAGCCATGGAAAATAATAGTGGGAGTGGTGGTGTTATGTAGACGGTGCCTGTCCTCGTTTCCAGGTGCCCCTCGCAAACATTTGCACAGCTGTCTGTAATGGGGTACTGATCCAGCCAGCACTTCCAACCCAGCAGGAAATAACAAAGCAGATGTCACTTTACCCCTTGCACTGGACTAAGGGTCTAAGGGCAATTTATAAATAAAAGTGACCTTTCCATCCCATGGGGGTTGGACTGAATTCGTGGCAGAAGGCCACACTTTCATAGACAACGTCTAATGAAGCAGGTTGTTGCTTATAAATGCTCATGTCTCTCTGAACTAATTAGTATCCAAGGTGCCACCCTGCTCTACCTTCTGCCTGACTTCAGGCTGATTCAGGCCAACCCCCTCTGTGACCATGGCAGGACATGAGGCATGTGGGGCACAGCCAGTTTCAATAGGACCTTATTTGTTAGACCTCATCCAATGCCACAGAGCATGGGCTGCCAGTCTTAAGGCCCCAAAATACTCGTGGATGAATTCTGCAGGCATGGGGCATTGCCAGCTATGACAGGTTCTCAGCAAGCACGCTAGATCTGTTTAATTTACAGACATATTTGAGTAACTTTGTCATCAGCCCACAAACTTTTTTTCCATCTATTGCTGTATATTACCTTCAAGGCCTCTTCTTCTGGATCCTTGGCTCTGGCTGTATAAATGACAGCATGCGCTAAGATGTCTTCTGCAACCCACACTTCCATCACTGCAAGACAGAAATTCAATGAGCCCAGTCTTGAATTCAGTGCTGTAACTCTCAGGCTGACTCGTGCTAAGACAAGATCAGAATCGAACCCAGTGACCCACGCCTGTTGAATGCTATGTGCGAGTGCTTTGTACCTCGGCCGGGCTGAGCTAGGGCTCCGGTGAAGAAGGGGGCTTCGTTGACATTGGAAATCTGCACGGCGATCGTCTGAGAAGCTGATCTCCCCACCGTGTCTTTCACCAGTATCACAAGCGAGTAAAGCGCCACGGTTTCAAAATCCAGCTTGGGCAGCATTGTCGTTGTTAGCTGGGACAAAGAGAGGAAAGCGTTACAGTGCTTGGAAATGGCAATTGAATAAAATATGCTCAGCACAAAACGCTAGAGCTTATTAAACCCTTGATCTCCTGCATTTTTTATCTGGCCCCTTAGGAGGGCCAGGGAAATATTTTAAAAAATGAATTATGGGCACATAAAGGTAAGGCTGCATTATTGCATTGTCTTTCCAGCTTGCGCGCACAGCCAGTGGCAAATACAGTAGCAGAGTAAACACACAGGACCAGGAAAAATTAATGAGATTTTTACCATTGAGAATAATGAGAGCAGGATTCGACCTCAAACCAGCATCCTCAGTGTATCTCCTCATTACATACTCTGTGCCATTTCGGTAGCTAATCACAGTCAAAGCTATGGACAGGTAGCAATTTGAAAATTATATAACCAGAATGCTGCTTGTCTCATTTACATTGATGTATCTATGTAATCTCGGTGTTTCAGTCCTTTAGTGTTATTTTGCTGTGAAATTGCTACTCTCGCCTCAAACTGACTGCCCAGCTCCCCCCCTTCCTCAATGAGATGAGTAATTTTAACGCAAACAAGCAAAGGAAGGAAGCTTAACAATGGGTAATGATAGAATAATGCAGAAATAGGAAGGTAGATTTAACTTTCTAACCCTTTGCAAAATGGCAAGATAAACCCTAACAAAGGTCATTTGCTCTGTTCTCTGTATGGACACCCAGTTTCACTGCACCATATATTTAACGGGATCATTTACTATCATCATTGATGCTTCAGCAAATTATTGGCAGCCTGTTTTCTAAAGCAAGTGTGACCGTGACCAGTGTGTGTTTCTGTGTTCATTCAGATGATGGCTCCTTGCAGCAGAGGTTTTGAACTTGTTGCTTCTAAAAAGGCAGTTTAATGTGTTGCTTTGGTCTTTTACAGCTGCAAAGAGGTGGTCAGTGTGCGCCAGATGGCAAATTGTTGCTCTGTGCTTTAAACAAGAGACACTTGTTGTGGGGCAAGACTAGATATTTGGGACACACTTACTTCCCATTGATTTGTAGCTTTGGGGGTGATGATAAATGGATGCACGACTGGGTTGGCATTCGCAATAACTGGCTCTCCAACAAATGAACCGGGAGGAGAAGCGGTGATGGTGATGGTGGTAACTACCGTGTGCTCTGGTGCATTTTCTGCCACAGGCCTGGGGTTCGCAACAGTTAAATTGAGCAGTGCTAGAAAACCTACGAGAGAAGAGTGCAGATGTTGATGTGTTTTATAGGAAAAAAAATAAAATAATGCAGCCCAATTTCTCTGGAGTCCCCAGGGCTTGGGGCTAAAGCTTAACAAACAGGAACGAAAGTTAGGCTCTGAGGTCGGTCTTTTGCAGGTCTCTGCCGGTCTGGGTTGGGGCTGTCAGAGGACCCCTAGCAAGGTGGAAAGCCATGAAAAGCAATGCTGAGGCAGATCTGCTGCAGGTTGCATTCGGGTGGGACCCTGTCACGGGAGTTTTCAGGTCCCGAGGCATAGAGGCGCCCTGAAAATGTGCTAAATGGATTTTGCCAGCTGAAATGATGATTGCTAATGCAAAAAGGGGTGCATGCTAAAGGGGAAAAGCAGCCAGCCTTAGGTGTGTGGGCAGGGCCGGACCTGGGGCTTTGTCTGGGGGATTCGGACTAGCTGTAGATTAGCCAGGTAGACTCAGGTCCTGCCGTGCGTGATTGCTCACGCCTCTCTTAGGTTCTGAGAGCGTTTCTCTAAACGTCCTTGCCTCTCAAGTTTCAGCGATAAGGCCACGCTTTCCTCTTATGCAATGGAGTATTTACCCAGTCGAAGCCTGTGGAGTTACACGAGAGATTTCCTACATTTACCGGTGTGCAAGCAAGGAAAGAGCAGGTTCTTCCTCGTTATTTGATGCACTTACAAACAGGCAGGCAAAGTTGGATGAATTCAGGGGAACTCGTAAGCATGATTTAAATTCACAAGACAGTCTCATCAGCCAAATCATGTGTTGGCTGCACTCGCAGCATGGCTAGTAGTAATAGTAATAATAATGTTTCAGGGGTATTGGTTGTAGCCATGTTGGTCTAGGATACAGGCAGACAAGGTTCTTTGGGTCCATCTGATATCTTTTATTAAACCAACTAAATTAATTGGTTAAATTGACCCAAAGAATTGTCTGCCAATAATAATAATATTAATAGTCACCCTTTCCCATACAAAATTGCTCTACATTGCAGGGCTTATAGGTTTGTTAGAACCAAACTATCCAACATGTCCTACATGTAATTGGATCACAAGCAAATCCACTGTTCCATGGATATTACTATCCTTTTTTTACCAATTAGCTTTCAAAACTATGGATTAAACTCTCCCAGTGGAAAAGCACTGCGCAGATAGGATTCTGTGCTCAGTGAAACGATTCCTCACGAGTTGTATTTGATCCCAGCATTTCTATTGCTTTTCCATATTTTCATGGAGGGGGTTGACCCTGTGCCCCAACTTTCGGTATCCTGGTTCAGGAAAATGCGACTGTTTCTGGAAAAGGTGCTATTCGATACGAGGTCAGCCTGATGAGACTCAGCCTCCTAGAGATAACAACCTAATTCTATGTGACATTGATGTGAGCTCTCTAAACAGTAGCGCAATAATTAAATGCTAACTTCATTTGCACTGAATTTCTCCAACTGCCGGTGTAGTCAATTATGGTAGATTAAATCAGATGTAAGCCGACAGGACGCAATCATTTTGAACTGAGCAAATCAATCAACGCAAATAAACATTATTAAAGCACGTAGATGACAGGTGCTAGCCAAAGCCCATTGCACAGGATGAGAGAGGCTCCTCTGGACTTCATCTGAGATGTGGATCACACTTGAGGGTTAACAGATTCCCCCAGATGAGGGATTTGATGGAGTGAGGGGTTTTGCACAGCACTCTCGACTGAGAGCTGAGAAACGGGACAAAAGCCCAAATATTTGCTTATTTCCAGAGGCTTCAGCCCATCTCCAATTTACATACGCATGGACTCGGCTCTGTGGGGGTGGCCATCCAGCCACTTCACCTGAAATCTAGACGCTTGCATTTTTGCTGCTGACTCCAAACTATTACCTGAAATGTCCACGGCATGCTAATTAATAATTTTTGCTTTTGTGTTTTTTGTTTTAAATTGCCAATACTATTTTTTTTCATGAATGCTAACGAGGTAGAATTGATCTGACAACACTGATCAGATTTATAAAGCATGAATCGGAAATCTGCATACTGACCTGGAGCCGAATCCAACCAAAGAAGAATGATGAAAATGTAACACATT